AAACAGTAATGATGAAAAGGTAAATTATACACCGTGAAAAGATGAAAAAACTTACTGACGTTTCGGACGCTAGTCCTTCGTCGGAGTAAAAGAGGAATTTACCCATGGTTAACGACTCAGTTACACTGCTATTCAGGCGTGCCGTGCTTAATTTTTTTTTTTTTTTTGAATGAGCAGCACACTACTGAGTCTAAGTATGTTGCTTCTGATTCCGACGCTTGTGTGACCCAGGCTTTACATCTAACCAGGAGATCGATTTTAAAACGCTATGCATTTTGGTTGGATGTCCAACGTGTTGTATGTCGGTACCGTATGATTGTACGGTCACGGTACATACTTCACGTCCATGGATTGAGGTTTTTAACAAACGCACGTAGTGTGCTCTGTAACTTCTATTCATAGCTAGTACGTGCTGTTTATATTTGGATCCAATCAACAGGATGATTCATCGAGCTCCTGGACTCAAGCTTGTCGTTCAGACTCTGTTGTATTCCCTACAACCAATTGGCAACACTGTTCTTATTGCCGGAGTATTTTACGTCATGTTTGGCATCTTGGGAGTACAGGTGGGTGGCTGTTATGTGGAACAATACAATGTAATGGAAGAGGCCGGATTGATGGAGAAACCGGTTTAGAGAGCATCTGGGTGGGCACTGTCCGGTTTTGGCGAGGGTCCGGGTGGGGGAAGGAACCAGGGGGGAGCATCTAGGTTGGAAGGAGGATCTGGGTGGGGTAAGATTAGGGTGGGGATAGGATCCAGGTGGATTGAGGAGTATCTGGGTTGGGGAGCAACTAGATGGTAAAGCATCTAGGTGGTTAGGGAGAGAGGCAGGTGGAGGTGGTTGGCTGTTGATTGATGGAATGTGTTATGCATGTCTATTTTCTCAAGAAATTCTCAACACCTAATGGAACGTCGTGTATATGGATGCAATAAATATGTCTGTTTGTCTAACTTCTTGTCTAATTCTACTTGTTTTGTTGCAGCTGTTTAAGGGGCAGTTCTATTACTGTGAAGGAGACAGATACGTGATCAATCGTGCACAGTGTTTAAACAGTACTCGTGGACATTGGGTCAATCGACGCTACAATTTTGACAATCTACTACAGGTTAGACAATGATTATTTTAACATCTTGTTGATTAGACTTCTATCAATGATTTACTGAATTTTCTGCCTACATATATCTCAGGGATCTATTTTTGGTCCACTGAATAATCTGGCAACATGTACCCCAGGGATCTATTCTTGGTCCACTAAATATTCTGCCAAAGCGTTCCGCAGGGATTTAGTCTAGGTCCACTGTTTTATATTAATATGTAGTTATTTGATTTCCAGGCTCTAATTTCTTTATTTATTGTATCGACACGTGATGGATGGATCCAAGTGATGCATCATGGGATTGATGCAGTCGGTGTTGATATGCAGGTATCTTAGTATTCTATAACGACGTACTTTATATCATTATAATGTCAATTCTGTATCAATACTGAGTTCTGTATGAAATACGGATTGCCTTAAGGTTCTGTCCTTGGTCCTCTGAATATTCTGCAAAGTATACCTCAAGGATCTATCCTTGGCCCACTGGCATCTGCATCGGCCCTGTTCTGTTTTGTTCTGTTTCTTTTTCTTGGTCAACTAAATATTCAGTATACTAAGTCTAAATCAGTGGTACCTCAGGGATCTATCCTTGGTCCACTCGCATCTATATTCATAGTAACAGTGTATTTTTCGTCAGCCTGTAGTTAACTATGCTGAGTGGTGTCTCATTTACTTCATTCCTTTCCTACTTCTTGGCGGATTCCTTGTTCTCAACATGATCGTTGGAGTCGTGGTAGAGAATTTTCAGCGGTGCAGAGCGAAACTAGACGAAGAAGAGCGGAAATATCAAAATATGGAAAAGGATAGAAAAGCAAAGAAGAAAGCTCATGGTCAGTATTATATAAAGCAAACAAAGAATCGTATTCTCAACGGAATGACACCTAGTGTGAAATGGGAAAGAATTATGCAAAATTATATTAGTCTTATTATTATCGAGAGAATACGACATAAACCAAAATGGCAAATAGAACAAAGAATCCTTCTGTTGATCCAATCACAGCGTTTTAAGCTTACTTATCGTTCAATTAGAATGCTCAGATACTGTCACGATCACAGTGCGCGTGCTCGTAAGAAAAATAAGCCTATTACGATTCTAGGATCTGAAAAAAAACTTTAAACTAAAGTCATATTTCTACAGAGCGGCAAACCTCGGGGGTGGCCAAGTGGTCCATACTTTGTGACTTTAACAACTGGCCGATTAATAGAGGTATATATAAGTACAAAAAAACCCTTTTTGGGACTTGAAACTTGCTGTTCAATACTCCAGTTTTGAATTCTTTGTTGCTTAGGATTAGCCTCGATTTTGTGCAGAATATTCAAGCATTCCAGTGAAGGTCCCGGGAATATCAAAGTGTTCCTCTTGTTGAAGATGTGCCTTGTTAACTTTACCTTTGGTATTTATGAATATTTAGACACTGGTACGAGGCTAACCCTGAGTAAACGAGTCTGCAATCAAGGAACACAGCGGTATTTGACTAATTCTAATCCGGTCTTTAGTAATTTTTGGGATTATTATTATGTTTTTAGTGGATGATGATCAGTATTATGCGGAGTTCAACGTGGTTCGTAGACGTATTCACAATTTGTGTATTCACCAGTATTGGGATATCACTATTGCAATAATTATCTGCCTGAATGTGATATGTATGTCCCTGGAGCATTATAACATGTCTAAGGTACGTATACAATACCGGATGTCACTTTAAGGATACTTTAAGATAAGGGACTTTAAGATTTGCAAAATCTGCGACGGCGACGTCAACCGGAAGTGTAAATAACTTTCTTTTAGGGTTTCGCGCCTTCAAAGTCTGTCTTCCCAGTCGATGAGTTGACTTTACTGACAGTGTTTTGAATGAAATCTTCAATGAATAGAACCCAAAGAGAAATCGTTTACACTTCCAGTTGACGTCGCCGTCGTAAATTTCTCAAATCTTAAAGTCCCTACTATTACAGGAAGTAATGTGCATATTACGTCATAGCCGCCACGTTGGCATTAGGTATCGTTTGGTGCATTTTTATTAATGTTTTATGATAGTTGCCCAAAGGCACTCAGGTGGAGATAGAAATAGGACACTGGGTCCTCTACGAGGTATTTACACCACTGCTTCTTGCCTTTGCCTCGAAATTTTCCCTTCGCAAAAATCAGCATTTCTTTTCATTAGCTCCTCCCCTCCCCAGGCCCCCACGGCCATAGAGCCTGGCTACTCAGGCTACCATTATACTAACTTCTGTTTTATCTTTTCTTTCGCAGGATTTCTATGTTTTTGTCGAGACTACAAATTATTTTTTCACGGCTGTCTTTGCATTGGAAGTGGTGTTGAAGGGTATTGCGCTAGGACCAGTCAGATACGTCAAAGATAGGTACGTAAGCTATTACATCCCGCTACAACGAAGCTTTTTTAGAGCAGATTATGGGGGGGGGGGGGGGGTGCGATACACGGAACAGAGCAATGTCTGTTGAACAAATCAGAGTGTGCGAGAAAACTGTTCCACCAATCAAAATGGTCAGACGTTGCACGGTCACGGCACCATAACCTTGCCGTAACGTTTTCACAGTCATACGAAACCACTACACGAAATCTTAGCACTGAATTTGACGTGGGAAATTCTTGGAAATCCATTACAAAAGAAAAAATTTTTTTCAAATTTATGTCAATTATTTTTAAATTCTCTTCGTAAATTAGCAAACGCAACGTCATCCAGAAATGTCAGATTCTAAGAGAATAATTTTGCCTTGTTTTTCCTTTTTAAAATTTTTTAAGCCAATTTAAAAAAATTTTTTTTTGTTTCATCACAACAGGTGGAACATTGTGGACTTGATTATCGTCATACTGTCAGTGTTAGGAATATTGTTGACAGACCTCGTGAATAAAGACCTGCCAATAAACCCTACTGTTATAAGGACCCTGAGGGTACTAAGAATAGTCAGAGGTACGTGAACTTAACCTACCAATCAGTCCCTCTATTATATCAACCCTTGGGTACTAACAAAAGTCAAGTACGTGAACTTGATCTACCAATAGACCCCACTGTTATAAAGACCCTTAGGGTACTAAGTATGGTGAACAGTATGTGAACTTGACCTACCAATAAGCCCCACTATTTTAAGGACCCTGAGGATGCTAAGTAACGGTACGTGAATGGAACCTACCAATAAGCCCCACGGTCATTTGGACCTAAGGATATAAAGCACAGAAATGGCATTTTTTAAACGTTTCAACAATTTTTTTACTTTCAGTTTTAAAGCTTGTGAAACTAGCTAAAGGAGTTCGGTCTCTTCTGGACACGCTGTTTGAGGCCCTACCACAGGTAACCCACACCACCTAAAATGTTAATTTTCTCTCCATTAATGCCGACTCTAAAGTTTGTAATGTTTTAATGTTCACAGGTTGCAAACCTCGGTCTCTTATTTCTTTTGCTGTTTTTTATTTATTCCTGTCTCGGAATTCAGCTCTTCGGTTCGCTTGGTAAGTAACTCTCCATATGTTTGTATAGCTTATTTGTTGACAGAGTGTTCCCGTGACTACCCTTGTAAGGCACTGGGTTGTCATGCTCACGTTTTCCCTCATATCCACGAATAAAAATCTCTCAGCCAATCAGCTGTTCGTATGTATTTGTTTACAGAGTGTTCCCATGACTACCCCTGTGAGGGACTGGGTCGTCATGCTAACTTTCATGACCTTGGTTCCGCCATGTTGACTTTGTTCAGGATCGCTACAGGGGATAACTGGAACGGAATCCTTAAGGTATGAATATATTTATTTATTTTGCTAATCCCGCCTGTATAGACCCCTTGCAGTACGTCGGAACGCAGCTTAATTTGGAGGACATAACAATAGGTTTTCAATTCTCATGATATTGAAATTCTTTTGTTTTGTCCTCCAAATTGAGCTGCTTTGACGTCACATGCCTGGGGTCGGCTGAATTGCTCTCCCGGCTTACAAAGTGTATTGGATGATACATCACAGCACATTTTATTTCACTCGACAGGACACACTGCGATCCAAGTGCGACGGTTCAGCGGACTGCCGTAAAAACTGCTGCATCACTAAATACACAGCACCGCTTTACTTCGTTACCTTCGTACTGTCGGCTCAGTTTGTTCTCGTCAATGTCGTCATAGCCGTTCTCATGAAGCACTTGAAAGAATCCAAAGAAAAGTTAGCGGCCACGTTAGCAGCTAAGGACTTGGAGAAAAAACTTAAAGTTTTGACTTTAGTGGCGAGGAATTTCATCCGTGCCAAAGCGTCACGCAAACCATCCACGCCCATCACAAGAAGAAGGTCTGTTGTAGAGCTTGGTTTAGGAGGGATAGAATTAGCACAACTGAAGAAGCACAATAAAGATGGCATAGATGAATCCTTCTATCAAGAGGTAATCAAAGCTGATGCAATATTTCAGCAATTTATTAAACTAAATGCGAGTTTAAGAAAGGCGAAAATGAAAGCGTGTAGAACTAGTTCCAGTACTTTGGGACGAGTTTTTAGTCTTAATTCAAAGGTTAAACCCAAGATTCAACGCCGGCATTCTATCGCGAGGATGACTGATCTAGCGGACCAGGACACCTCGTCCAATATGAAACGAATTGTGTGGAAGTCTGGATGCGAGCCCCTGTAAAATTCCACAAATATTATTCGACTTGCGTTTATCTTTTTGTCGTACAAAGTTCATAGTATAGAATACTTGTTTTACGAAGTTAGATTTTATACGTAAACAGTAAATAGAAAAATATACGAAATATTTATTTATTTATAAAAATGTGGCTGCTTCAGCCGGTTTGACGGCTCAAGAAATTTTCATAAAACAATGTAAAATGTTAAAAGATATAAAAAAGAATTGAATAAAAAATGAAACAGATTTCTTTTATAAAAAGGCAGAAATTAAAAATAACATTGAAATAGCCATTGTTCGGCAATAAAACTTGTAAATGCTTTAATGACTAATGATAATGAAAAAATGTAAAAATTGAAATTCAAGTAATAACATGGGCTACAAGGCTTTCTTTGACGCTGTTTGAAAATATATGTTAAAACAAATGTTTTGCCTTATTTACGCATTGCTTTGCTATTTTATCTCCCCACACCTATGCGCTTCCACCAAGAGTACTTTGCGCTTCCACCAAGAGTACTTTGCGCTTCCACCAAGAGTACTTTGCGCTTCCANTGCGCTTCCACCAAGAGTACTTTGCGCTTCCACCAAGAGTACTTTGCGCTTCCACCAAGAGTACTTTGCGCTTCCAACCACAATAGACCAAATTCAAAACTCGCACCGATGTGAGGCTTAAGTTGTGAACAAAGGAATCTGGCGTGATTCGTGACTTTTGAATCACGCCAGATTACTTTGAGTCACGCCACATCCCTTTGTTCACAACTTAAGCCTCACATCGGTGCGAGTTTTGAATTTGGTCTAAGCTTTGCGCTTTTAACCAAAATTATTTGCGCTTCTAACCACAATGCTTGGCGCTTGCAATTGCTTTTCCGCATTAAGATTAAATTGAATTTTTTTAAATAATGCCCTTGTTACACATTTAAAAATATTAACGTATAGTAGCTTTCTTAGTGGATTCACTTAAAAATAATAATATTTTGTGAAATAGTAAGAAATAAGATTTGAGAATGCTATTAAATTTTCTTGTAAATAAAGATTTTCGTAATAAAATTTTATTTAAAATTTAAATCGTTGTATATAATCGAGTATGGTTATTAAATTATAGTGATAAAAAAACCTAAAGGTCTATTCTTAGATTCAAACAATTTTGAATTTTTCTGTATCCATAGCAACTAGCCATAGCAACTGTATCCAAAGCAACAACCGATCACGTGATCTTAGCAGGTGTTGTTGGCACTTTTCAAGAATATTAAGTATTTGTTTGAACATAAGACTTCCCGTTAACTTCAATTTTCTTTTTTGTTTTTGATCAACTCAGCCGTCTTTAAAAGGAAATCTCCAGGACATCGGCAACAAAAAAGCACTTCTTGGCCAATTAGTTTATGTTATTGTTGTTGCTAACTTAAAGGCGCTGTTGTTATGCTTCAGGCGATGAAACAATCAAGCCGCAGTGAAGTGGTTCTTAGTGGATGCTTCCCTCTAAAGCATTCATGTCTTTTTAACTTTTCAAATCCTGGATTCCTCCTTGAAGGAATCCCTTGTAATAATTTGAGAGAGCCTCGAAATTCTAACCAACTCGCTACAACAAACCGTTTATCAAAAATTACATCTTCAAACAAATGTGCTAATCCCAGAAGAGAGACAACTATGACAGAAACAGGTGTCTACTGTCAAGAAAACAAAGTCGTTTTTCATCGAAATAACCGTATTTCCTCGCTAAATACAAATGCTAATCAAACTGGTAGACGAAAGATTTCCAGAAGGATAGATAATTTCGATATGACAGAAGAATTAGGAAGATTTAAGTCCGACAGATTCAACGGTGGGAATCAGTCAAGAAAGGCATGTGAAGTGTTCTCGAATGGAGAAGTGTTAAAGCGACAGCTGAAGTTATCAGCGATAGAGAGTAGGATTAAAGAAGAAAAAAGATCCATAAAGGGATGTGAAGAAACCCGTAAAGTGTCCAGAGAAATGTCTCGGCTTTCCTCAAGCATTGTGGAAGAATGTAAAACAGAAGATTCAAAGAAGAAATCAAGAAGGCCTGAAAAAACGAGTTTAAAAAAACACACTGGAAGTCGTGCACTTACGTGTGCTTTAAGCAGAAAACCTACTCCAGCCGTTTTTAAAGAAACAGAAGACCTTGATTACCAGCATTTTGATATCAAAGACTTGGAATATTATTCCGGAGATGAAAGAAGTGAAGATATTATTAATGCAGTTGCGCGGGAAAATAATGACGCGCGTCTTCCGGTTCTCCCGCCACTGACTTGGAACAAGTGTGAGATTAAAGACCGCTACAGTAGTAGATTTAATGGCGTCCCCTCTACACCACTCCTAAGAGAATATGTCAGAATATCGTGTAGCACCCCTGGCTATTCTCCAGGAAATTCGACTGAGGAAAACCAAGAGATTTAGAAATTCTATCAAACTCATATTGGTTGTGGATTTCTTCGTCTTTACAAACAAAAATGAAGGAAATAATCACGTTGTATACGTTTCCTTTACTTTTTGTTCCGACACAATTATCCATTGCTCAACATCTTTTAACTCTATACATCTTTCTACCAATGTAAACATAACTTATATTGACAAAACAAACTAGACTCTTAGATGCTAAAGGATAAAAACAAACTGATCAATATCGATCAAAATGATATGTTTGAGCCGTAATCGTTCATCGTGTGACATCGATCAGCCGCATATTTCTGTCAATTCGGAAAAAAATTGACAGGATAACCAAATCAGTGTGCATAAATAAATGATGGCTTCATTTGTTGCAGATATCATCTTCCAAAAACAAATATTGGTCAATTGATCAAGCTAATTATTATGAGATGAAACGAGGAGGTTTTTATATCATCAAAACACTTTATTGAGGGACCATCACTTTGGAGTTAAACAAATAGATCTTTTTTTCTTTCTTTCTTTCTTTTTGGTTAATTTTTCTTTCTCTTTAGCTTCGATCAAACCATCACTTTAGCTTCGATCCGGACCATCACTTTGGAGTTAAACAAATAGATCTTTCTTTCTTTCTTTCTTTCTTTTGGTTAATTTTTCTTTCTCTTTAGCTTCGATCAAACTGCAACTCACACTAGATTATTTTGGCAATTTTAGCCATTCTGAGGTTGAGCAGAAATGGGACTATTTTAGGGGACGAATAAGACCCACAATGCACTGCAATGTCCACTCGACACATTTTTTCCCCTAGCCTCAGAATGGGTAATAAATTAAAAGGAAAGATAACCGACAAGCAAAACCAAACTCTTTACTCTTTAAAATGAAAAAAAGGACGAATGCAATAGAAAAGAGGAAGGATAGATTTATACATAAAAGAGCAAAAAGAAAGAAACGCCTCGTTTTTTTCCGTTAGAAAAACAGAAAGGAATGAAAACTGAGAAATTAGCTAGGTAGGAATTAAAGAAAGAAAGAAAATGGACTGAAAAATAAACAGCTGAATGAAAAAGATCAATAGGAGATGACAATTTCTGTACACAAATATGTTTTTTAGCATACATGCAGACAGACAGTCTGTTCATTTCTGTGATTTGGTTTTTAGTTTTGGAGATATTTGGGGACAAAATCTAAGATTTCACTTCCAGAGGTGGCGGGTACCGGGTAACACCACCCCTCCCCCCTAAATCGAGTACCGTGAGAGGACAATTGTTTTGCCCTCATCTCTAAAATAAAATAAAAAAGTCGATCGCAAATCGTTCTTTAAGACCATTATCAAGTCAGACATGAGGTCGGTCTCCCAGCTAGGAAGACACCAGCGCAGAGCGCAACGGGAATCTTACACTTACCTATCGCAAATAGAATAACCTTAATTGTTCCGGAGCAATCATTAAATGAGAAAATTCTGTCTAACATATTTTCGACAGATCATCAACTTTCTTTTTTTTCCTGAATTTTATTGAGTTTGCTTTTAAGCACTCGTTTTTGAGCGTGCGAATAGCTTTCAATAAACTATAGTGCATAATCCAATTTATACCAGATCCCTGCCGACAGCATTCCTTTATTTTCCACTTATCTCGCTCTTCCTACGAACAAACATTGGCACCACAAGCACTTTATAATCATTTTCGCTTTTATACCTCACCCTAATGGACATGGGCTCGAATAATAGTGAAAAGAAAAAAAAAAATACGACAATTGACAATAAATATGAGACTTTTCAAGGCCTCAAATTAATCCTTAGATTACCGGATGTTCGTACGATTACCATGGCAACGTCATCATACAGGTGCCAATGAGCAGTTGATTTGACGTTCTTTCTCTAATACTCGTCTTTGCTTGTTATTATTGAACGCTTTTTTCGATATTTGCTCATATAAGAGCCTCTCAGATCATAGATGTTTGATTGTACAGACAGTTGGCAATGGAGTCTCGACGAGACTCGACGTTATGTTCACCTTGTTTTGCCGGGGCCGACGATGACGACTTTCTTTCTCGATATGTCAACCTTGGGTTAGATACCGACAGCAGCGAATGGAACTATCAAGACGATTATCTGAGCAATGAGTATGATTTACTCAAGTTATTCAGCCGTGAACAGTCTCGGGAAATAATTGACGAAGACGTGAAAAATCCACGGAAGTCGAGCTTGGAGAAACCCGTAGGTTTTTTGATGCAGCTAAAACCTCGTGTGAATATTTGCGAAAATTTCAAGTCTTCTCGCTGGGGAAAGTTTTTATCGTCTGAGAAAAGAGTTCGTGAGAATAGTAGTCAAAGTTATCTCGAGGAAAACACAGATTGTAATGATAAGGTAAATATTGAGAAAAATGAAGATAAAGACAATGGAAAGCAAAGCCATTGTCAGACCTTTGTTTCAGGATGTAAAAGGTCTAAGAGTGTTAACGATGTATTTAAAGAATCAAACTGTGAAGTAGAAAATGTTTTAGACCAAAAACAACAGAGAAATCAGTCGTTAAAGCAAAGTGGAAAAGAGGAGAATACTTGCGGTATAAAACGAGCTGCGCCAAGCAGACTTAATAAACAGTTTTCTGTGTATAGCCAGAATTTTGAGCTCAATACGAGGTTTCTTTCCAAGTCGCATTATCATATCAGCCATTGGAAACCGGAAAAAAGCCGAGTAAGATCGAAAGAAACTATCACTAACAGGAAAGATCCGAACCTGGATCTTGTTATTGAGAAACGAATGGCCTTCAAACAAAATGGCAACGTAAAAGAAACAGAACTTGAAGAAAGAAGACAAAAATTCGACACCGATAAAAGCTACAGTGCATGGGTTTGGGAGCCCGAAAACAGTCCTTCCAACAAACTTCAAATATCCGGAAAAGCTGATCGAAAACAACAGAATTCTGGTATCAAATCTTTGAAGATGTTTAGCTCTTCAGAATTTGTGAACGGGAAAATAAAATCGCAGGAAAAATCGCAGGAAAAATCGAAGGAAAGAAAGAAAATTGAAAGACCAACTCGACAGCTTAGTCAAGGCGATGCTCCTTCGAATACCATCTCTCTACCTGCAATTTCAAGTCCAAATATTTTGCCTGTGATTCGACAAAAAAGTCCACATAAACTTGGACATTTTCCATGCATATCGACTGACAGTTTAATGAAACAATATAAAAAATACCATGACGAATTCATAAAACAAGGAAATAAGAATAGCAATAAACTGTAAACAAAACGATACATAGATATTTGTTATCAAGATTTTGCTTTTAAAATTTAAGTGATTTAATTTGAATGAATAAAAAATGGATTCCTAAAACGGAACAATTTCGATACTTTTTAATAGTGTAAATATAAATAATAAATGTATCTGTTCATTTTGTTTGCCTACTTCTTCACTTTGATTGCTTTTAGCATGAAATATTTAAAAATTGTTGACTTTTATACTATATAAACTTAAATTTAACCTTTTAAATTTAATTTATTTGTTTCTGCACAAAAAGCAAGAGAGGATCGAAAGCTAAGGCCCTGGCTAAACAAAGAAACATGTTTATCGCGCGCATGTTTCCTCGATGTTTCCCAGTTTAGCCACATGCGAAACATTGTTGCGTACAACAAATTTTGCTTCCAAGACGCAAAAAATGTTTCTGCTGTGCGGCAGAAACATTTCATGTTTCCAAGACGCATGGAAACTGTTTGTTTCCCGATGTTTCCTGACAGTTTTGCCACCTTAGGAAACATTTAGGGAAACATGTTTCTGGAAACATGTTTCCTCGTTTAGCGAGGGCCTAATGACGGACAATATTTGTTTCATAACAACAAACTCCATCCAAGTTCTTAGCGATATTAATCAAGACTCCTCCATATAAACAAAGCATAAAAATATACAGATATTGTTTGATTTTGTTTCATTTCGAAATTCGCACGCTTTAGCCAACACTTCATAAGTCAAAAAAATAAAAATAAAAAAAAAATTGATATATAATACTTTTAATACTTCAAACTAATGTTTGCGGGTATTTTTTGTGCGCGGAGATTTATGAATTTATGAGAGGGAAAAAATTACCATTATTGAATGTACAATATTTTGAAATGATAGACATTATACGAAACAATCAATAATCTTTGACTTCATTTATAGAAATTCAAGGAGCTATAAACCATTTCATATATACGCCTCTAAATAACAAACACGTCCTTAGGTTGAATTATTACTAGAACAGGGCTGAGAGATCTTTATATTTTTCTCGCCCCACAAACAAACAATCTTTAATTTTTTTATTTTTTTTTAAAGAAACTGCCAACTAAAATTCACCTCCACGCGGTTTCACGGGAAGTTTATGCTAAGTACAAACTTTATTTATCCATTCGTTTGTTCATTTTTTTTCCCGAGGTAATGAATTTAATTTTTTATATTTGGAAGATAAGATAACTCTTTATTCAATGCCTTTGGGCTTCCTGTGGTTTGTCGACAAATGATCAAAATATGCTTTAGAAAAATTCGAATTTCTGGATTATTTCATATTTTCTTTTTCTATTTCTTACTACTAACAAACAATATTTATCGGTCAAACCCTCAGTAAACGAGACACCGATCTCTCATCATCACGTAGTTTTAAGCATCCCAATTGACTTTTGCTTTTTTTGTTGGATCTAGTTTATGTTTAAGTGCTTGGCTCTTTGTCTCCTTGCTATCGTCTCTTATCTTTTCCTTGTTCTTTTAACTAGCGCTTGATTTAACTCTAACTCTTTACTCACGCACTGAATCTAATTCAAGGAGTTTTGTCAGGTGTTGTTTGTTGTTTACGGCTAACGTGAAACGTCAGTTGACCATTAAAAAATTCTTTAAAATTAGTGAAAAGGAATCGCAAAAATCTCCAAGTAGTAGATAAACAAAAGAATACTTGTCTTTGTCGAGAAGGTTTGCTAAAGGTAAAGTGAAATGTAGGGAAACGATGAAAACGTGGTCACGTTTGCCGTTTGAGGAATGGAAAAACGGGAATCTTGATCCGCAAAGTAGGAACGCGAAGGAAAGGCTTGAAGGAGATAATTCCATAGGTGTATGAGCTTGTGTTCGAACTCACGAAATAAACCGTTTCAAATTAGTCAAATATCGCAGCGTTTCTTGATCACAGACTCATTTATATAGGGTTAGCCTCATTTAAGTGCTTGGCTGTCTGCGGTATTCCCAAGGAACTCAGGCCAATGACCCTATAGCCCTGTTATTCTTACTGCGCATGTCAAGAAACGGCAGTAAAAATGAGAGGTCAAAAGAGCGGCAAGGGTTTTACGGAGACTTTTGCATATTGTCGGGCATGCGCAGCCGCAAGAATGACAAAGTTCTAGGAACGAATTATGACGTCATCGATTTGTAGAGCTTTTAATATTCGAAGAGAGGATGACATTGCATGACTGCGTCATGACTTGCATGATTGCGAACTTTAATTAATGTTACTTAAAGCTTTGGAAATGGAGATATTTGACATTCAAGTTCAAAAAAAAATTTTTTTTGAATACAATCACGTTACTTAAAGCACCAAATACACTGACAAAATGTATGGGGATATATTGACATTAAACTCCCTAGATCCATGCAACTGTTCCTCGATCTATCGCTGAGAAATTCCACATCCTTATTAGTACCTGCTGTTTCTGTTAAATTTTGGGCTACAATCACGTTACTTAAAGCACCAAATACACTGACAAAATGTATGGGGATATATTGACATTAAACTCCCTAAATCCATGCAACTGTTCCTCGATCTATCGCTGAGAAATTCCACATCCTTATTAGTACCTGCTGTTTCTGTTAAAGCCACCAAATCCCTGGCTTTTGTTAATAGAAAAGAAAAGCCTTGACAATAGCATTACAATTGGGTGTGATAGAATACGCAAACAAAAGCTATTTGAACTGTCGTTTGTGTCTTCACATTCCATCGCAAACTGGAGGATATTAGTTCAAGAACGACTATCTAGAACAGTCCAAATGAAAAATATAGTCGGATCTTAAAATTTTTGTTGAGTACTTTGAATTTGAGGCAGTCTAACATTCGGAAAAATTATGTAAAAAAAAGGATGTAAAAATTAATCATACGTACTTACAATAGGAGTACAACAAGTTTTGTTCTTTCTCTCATTATTTTAATATAATGTAATGGTTTTACAATTGCACAAGCATCCATCGTTAGCTAACTTACATCTTAAGTGTAATTTTGAACAAAGGCATCAAAAGACACAGCTTAGACTTTGTGTAGTTTCTACATAACACAGCTATTGTTGTTTTGTTTGCACTTTAAATTGATGTACCTACAAGCAAAGCTCTTCTATATTCAGCCTAAGGCTGCTTTTGTCAGGCTTGCAGCCGACTTTCGTCCCCAGGGATTGCCTCTGAACTTTCCCACGGTTTAAGTTAATATTTTCGCTTAAGCAACCATCATCCTAGCACGCGCATAGCTTGTGCTTGATTATCTGGTACTGGGGTTAATCTCTTTGATTAAAAACAGAAAACAAGTCGTCAAGTCAGTCGTAACAGCCGTAAGGCGAGACACAGTCAAAGACATTATGAATGACAACGAACAGCTAAAAGAAGTTAATGCAAAAAGGTACATATATATATATATATTATTACTATGAATCTCTCTTTTTATGTGTGATAAATTAGAACATGATTTATTTTTTTAAATCAAAAACACTGTTTTCTTTCCACTATATCGCCGGCTTTCCTGTTGCTGTTATACGTTTGAATTCCTTTTTCGGTGCACACCTTTTGACATTTGTATTACTGAACGACAAACAAAAGTCTTTCCGTTTTCGTCTATGTCAAGACTTCACGGCGTGGACGTAATTGTTGACTTCTTGGTTGGCTATTTTCACGTATTAATACCCTGGCGATGTCTAAAATTTGACAAAACGGGTTTACGTATTTGTTCTGTGCTTACTACTGATGTCTCATATCTTGCATGCGTATTTGCATTATGCAGTTATTGCACCATACTTGAGATTTTTGGAAAAGCACAGTTTTCTTTGCGTTTTGACCTCCAATCAACGCAAAGAGCAATTTTGGTTCCTCTTTGATAACGTTCTTTAAGTGGTTAAAAAAAATGTTTCTGAGGAAGGCATACGCTGAGGGAAGCATACGCTGCTAATGCGTCGCCTTTCACTGTATGTAACCCGGGTTCGAGTCCGGACTAAGTGTTGTATGTGCAGTTGTTTTTGGTTATGTCCATTCGTTTTTCTCCGGTTTTCCTCCCTCCGAAAAAATGAGCTTCTTAAATTCCAATTTAACCATGTCAGTCTCCTTTCGCACTATTGCAAATAAATTGGCTGTTTATTCTTTATGTCTCCAAACACTGCTTAGTTTTATTTCTTTATTTTTACACGTGTTTTGTTTATTTGATAAGTTTTCAAAGCTAACGATGGAGAAGAAAAGAAGAGCTAGAATAAATGCAAGCCTTAAGGAAATCAGAAAATTGCTGCGAGATTCAGGAAAATTGGACGTAAGTTTTCATAAAATAAGGCCGCTCTTTTTTGAGTCTTATTCAACTGAAACGATTTTGCTGCTTTTTCTCCCAACGTTTTTCAGGAATTCCAATATTCTCGAATGGAAAAAGCTGAAGTTCTAGAAGCAGCGGTTTTTCATCTGAGAGAGAAACGTTACCACGCATGTCAGATATTAAATCTTCGTCATCATGGTTACAACGCATGCGCAGAATCGATTTTTGCATCGTTTAGCAACGGTTTACAGCTGTGAGAGTCCAGTATACCAGAGAGTAAAAATTTTTCTCCAAGACCGCTGTACAAAGGGACTGTTGCCATCACAACTCACAAATTCAGCCAATAAGATGTCATTGTTTATAACCAATCAGGAACCAAGCTGCTCCACTGTATCCAATTATCCCTCATCTACAAAAGATATTACAATTCCTTCGCACACCAATCGTGATACAGCATCACCTGTTGCTCCTGGTAACACTGTTCCTATTCATTCACTAGACTATAATAGGCAATCATCATTCCCAAAAGTGAATCCTATCTGGAGGCCGTGGTAAAAGATTAAGGATGATTATTAATTAACAAAATGGCAGCCATCAATGTTGTTTTTGTGATATAGCCGATAGCTAGTTCAATTGAGGGGGAATTCAATGTCACACTGTTCGTCACTGGTTACCCGTAAACAATTGGAATGGAATGTTGTGCTTGAGTAAGCAGCCAATAGTTTGGAGGAAGTTTAGGACTGAAGCTAAGAACGGCTGCAAATGAGACTAAGAAACACCACACTGTTAAAAACACAACTATTTATTGTTGTTTTTAAAAAATAAATATTTAACTCCAGTAAGATTTATTGCACACTATTAATATCAATGTACATTTCAAGGTGTTACAAATAAAGAAATAATACTCAAGGAAATGGCCATGTGGTACTTAACTTTCAAGTTGTTGTAGTTTATCATTATTGACATCATTTTGCTACTTATTGGGGTTTGAGAGGGAAACCTGTTTTTTCCATAGATTTGGAAAAATGGTTCTTTAAAATAAAACTAATATTGTCGCTTACTTATGTTTGCCAGTTGCTTGTAGAGTGCAAACAATTAATCCGTAAAACACTAATTACTAAATAGTACAAAATAGTGCTAATTAAACAATAGAAAACAATAGAATTTGCATGAAATTGTGCTATTTAGTATTACTAAAGTTTCATGGTTATATTGTTTGCACTCTATTGCTGGCTTCTGTAATGGATAATTTTCTCATAATAATATTGGCAAGCATCAACTAGGTTTTTAAATTTTCAATAAGCAATCAAAAGTTTTCTTTGAATTTTCAATGGATTTTTCAGAGTCTTTCAAAACTGATTTCAATTTCCGGAAGGGGCTACATTCCCTTCAATTCAATTCCCTTCAAGGGGCTACATGAACCATAGTCTATGCGTGAACAGTCTCTCTGATACACAATCAGGCAATAGTTTCACTTGTCGGCTTGTGTGAAGGCGATATCTGTGGTTTATGAACAAGTACAAGCTCTGGAGGTGATTTGGGCTCTTTTTCTAGGACGTGTACAAATTTCCGTTCATGAATTGGTCCCTTTCTTCCAAGCCCCCATGGATAAGGATCCAATAGTTCTCTCTTGTATCTGACTACCCCTTCACTCAGTGCAAAAAGTGTATGGTCACGTCCAACTCCAACCTGAAAATTGAATGATAGATCAATCGAGAAACAGAAAAATACTGGGGGAGGGTACCCTGGGGATTGATTTACCCTCACCCTTTTCTTTGTGAGCACCTAACATGAAGAAGGATATCTTAAAGCATCCATTACAAATTACCAAAAGCGAATCCCAGGTAGGGATAAAATTCTGACGGTAATACAAGAATTTTTTGAAATTACAGTATAGGCAGTTGCAAAATTCAGGAGGAGGTAACCCCCTCCCCCCATAGAGATTCCTAATGGTATTTTTACTCACATTGACACCTGGATGAAATTTATATCCTCTTTGCATGACTAGAGTTGTTCCAGGAATAACACGTTCGCCTAGGGGGGGAAAATGATTGCATAATTTTACCAATGAAACAATATCACAGACTTGAAGGTTGATTTACAAATCTCCAAATTTGGATTTCATACCTTCCCTACGTTTAACACCCAAATGTTTCCCCTTCTTGTTCTTTCCTTGATTCTTCGTACTTCCAGCAGCTTTTTTGCTTGCATTTCTTGCGCAAGTTAAAAGAGGCAACCCTAAAAGCATTTGAAGTCATTCTGATCAAAACATGGCTTTTAAAAATCAATGTTCTCGTCAGATCTAAAATAAAATGCACATTCTTTTTCAAGCCAGTAGAAATTATAGATCGTAATCCAGCTAAAATACTAAGAATATTTAACAACTTACAAGAATTTATGAGGTAATTTGGCGCTCTAATCCTGGTCAATAAACCAGGCGTGCAGGCCGCCATCTTGGATTTAGTAACTACAAGAGACTGGAAACTAGACATGTGCCTTAATATCAGCATCAAAAGCTAAAAGAAAAGAAAAGAAAAGAAAAACTAAAAAAAGAAGAGAATTGAAAAGTTCTGACATTTATTCCGATTAATTTTCGTTTAATTATGTGTTAATAATATCTAAGTTTTTTCGGAATATTTTCCTATTAAGGTCATGTGAACCGGAGTGACAGGAACGCCTGGGGATTCTCATTGTTCAGTTTTCATTTAGACATCTGGTAGGACAACCAGGTGCAGAATTACCAATAATGTTTACGACTTTTATTCTGAATCGCGTTTTCTGCTGTGCATTTGGTTCCTGCCATCTTCAGAGACATGAGAGGGGTTTATTTTCTAGCGCTTGTTTTCTCCATCATGTCGAAAATCGATGCATATTTTGATGAAAAAGAAGAAAAACTTCCTACAAAATGCCATGGTAAATACAAAAGATATCTGTTATTTTTCTATCATTTGAACCATGTTTTTTTATACTTTTACTCACCTGATTTAGCAGGAATTAATTGCAGAAAAACTCTTTAACGTTTGAGGCTTCTGTTAAGCCTCTTAGTTTTCTGTACATACTGAATTAAGCTTATTTTGTACTTTATCTGAAATCTTCTAAACTTTTTGGAAACAAACCTTCCTATTTTTAAAAAAAAAAGAGAATATGTGACCAAAACACACTCATTTTTCAGGATAGCTTTGGTAAACTTACAAAAGGCTATAAAAATTGTGCCAAGTGTGCAATATATACATGTATATATATCAGTTTATAGATTTGTTAAAATAATCAAATATTAATAATTTTAAATCCTTTTAAAAAAATCTTTCCAAGGATGAGTCTATAAGCCATCTGTTTCTTGCTTTAAGTGGACAAATAATACAAGATTTTTGAAAGAAATAATTTTTGAATTCAAAATGATCTCAAATACAATTCAAAAACAATACTTGTCTGTCAATATTGCTTGATTCTTAAAGATTCGAGTATCTTTAAGGATTATTTTTGCAACAAATAATAGGAGGAAAGGCTGACAAAACTTATATTAACTTTTCTTTTTGATTTGATGTTTATGTTAATTCAGTGTGCAAGCATATGACAAGAGAATTATCTGAAGAGCTTGGGCGATCTGGTAAAACAGGAGAGGTTCTTTATATGGGCCAAGTTTTCCAAAAAGAACCAAAAAAAGTTCCTTATAAACAATCGTAAGTGTTTTTTTTCCAGCAGGCATGAATTAATTAAGACCCATATGGTAAACTTTACTTAACTAACATTCCTTTCATTACAGTATTTCATTTGTTTAAGGTTAATATTTTTATATTTATGAATTCATTTTATGAAGTGTTGATAAAAGAAAAAGTAAACTTTTTATTAAACTGTAAGCTTTCTTTTTTTAAGAAAGCAATCATCCTAAATAGGAAACGCTTCATACATGTTGCCTAAATGGGTACTTCATAGCAAGACTACTAACTAAAATACACATTTTGAAGCACATTCAACATTTCATGAAAATTTTGCTCTTAATTTTTCAGAGAATTGAGATTAGTAGAAGCTCTAGAAAATGCCTGTTCAAATGTTTTAGATTACAAAGTTCATAAGGACAAACCTTTGTCGCTAAGATATGAAAAAGGTGGGTCCAAAAACAAATAAAGCAATTATATTTTCTCATCTATGAATTTTTTTTATTTTTGCTCGATGAGCAATCTTTCTTAGTGTTAATTACTCTATCAGTATTAATTGACACTTCAAGCAAAATGTTATTTTAGGCATAATGTTTTCCCATTTCAGAACACATGTTATTCTCTTGAGAATAAGATTCTTGCTTAGAGTTGTGTCCATATTCATGTGTCTTCTCATGCACAACCATTAAACAAAGAAATTATATGCAAGGAAATAACACATGGTCAAAATGGGAAAACATTAAGCCCAAGATTAAATGGTCCATTTTCAACAAAGTTTATATTTTTCATGCATATTCATTGATCAATAAATTCAAAAGTTATTCAATTTATGTTGTGATAGACAAGCATCACATCCTAGGTGGTATTGATATTCATAAACTTCACTGCATTGCTATCTAACTTGGAGTTCAAGCTACAGCTTAATGAGCTTTGCATGATAACTCGTGCTCATAACTTTTTACTTACTACATGTTTTCATATACAAGATTTTTCGCATATACCAATGGATTCATCTATCTTTTCAAACTCGTAGAGTTTATAAATTTATAAGAAACATCATCAAACTACAGTTATTCTGAATACTTGGTAGTTGCAAGCTGCACACTATAACTTGATTATTCTCTGCCGCCGATCAAAAATAATCAATTGGTACCTCAAATATCTTGACTGGTGGCGAGCAACAAACTGTTAAAATATTGGAGTTTGCAAATATCAAAAACTGCTGTGTAATATTTACAACAGAAAATTTATCTCATTTTCTTATTTTTTTCTATTTTATTAGTTGAGAGTATGACCTTCAGGACTTTAAAAGGTTTGAAAAAACGTGGTGTGAAGGTAGATCTTGGATTTCCTGATCAAATGTGGGATTCTCCAGATGCCGAAGTAACCAGATTAAAAAACAAGGTCTGTTAATAATACCAAACTCCTGTGAATAAACATCTGTTCTCTCTTGTTATTAATATACATAAATTTTGACATATTGAAAATGAAAAATTTATTTTTAAAGTTCCTGATTCTAACTTCTGGTCATCTCTGTCTATAACTATGCTATAATATAACTAACTGATTAAGCAAAAGGTTTGTTTTCTTTGTTTTTACATTTGAAAAAATTGATTTCTTGTGTTTTTAATATATTTTTTTCACAAGATGAAAATAATAAGAAGAATGATTTAAAAAGAATAATTCCTCGTTCAATTTGGCTCACTCATTAAATAATTAACTAGCCAAATGGCAACTCTTCATTGGTTGATAAATTTCAATTATTTTGAATTTAAAACTCAAATAAAATTTCAGTTAAAATCCCTAAAAAATTCCTATTAAAATAAGAAACTTGAGATTTTGACTACAAATTGGCTTACAAGAAAGAATTTTTTCAACTGCCATTATGCCATATTTCATGACATTATCAAAAGAAAATAAATTGTTTTTTTCTTTCCATAGTGTGAACAAATGGTTGAGATGTATGAGGAAGAGATTAGCACTTGGTATTGGAATCTCCCGGATACGAATTTGACGGACTGGCTTTGTGTCGAGAGAGTCTTAGATGAAGGAGAAGATGGTGAGAGAATAGCATGTGTAACACCTTAACCTTCTATAGTTATGACTGCATTTCTAAAGTCGAATTTGTTATTTTTGTTAGCGTCGCTTCCTTTTTGCATTAAATGATTAAAACTTTAGTTTGCCTTGATAAAAGTAAGCTTAACTGATGAAGTGAGCTTTTTTTAGATTTGAAAATAAATTTGCTTTTTGCAGTTTGTTTCAAAGGCGTTCACTTTAGCTCCTGTTGTTAGCTAAAAGAGAAATTTGAAAAAAGGAAACAAAAACTTTTTAGGTGATAAAATCGAATGTTTTAGCCTTTTCTGAAAATACAAATTTTGTCGTTTTAGATTGTTTGAATGAGACAATGCCTCACAAAGACGAGAAAAATGAAACACAAATCGAAGAGAAAGATGAGAAAACAGAAAATAAAATGAAGCAAGAAGAAAAGAGGGAGAGTGGAGACGAAACGAAAGAGGAAGTAAAGAAAAAGTCCGAGAAAAAAGAGAAAAAGAAAAAAGTTCGTAAAGAGAAGAAAAAGCCTAAGACTTCAGAACCCGAACGAAATAAAGAAGTAAGAGATGAAGAAAATAATGACGACAAAATTCAAAGACTAATCCGAGAGCAGGCCGAAGAACAGGCGAGAGGCCGATACCGTCACAGAAGATACCGACGTGATAACCGGCAAGGTTCCGGAAACATGGATGAGACTAAACGCAAAAGACTTCGCGACCGACTCCTCGCTATAAGAGACCCCGAAAGGCTACGAAGAGAAATTCGTAAAATTCGTGCAAAGGAGCTAACAGAAGATGAATTCATCCCTCCTGAGCCTTGGGAAGATAGAATAGATCACCCCATCCCCGAGGAAGTGCGTAGAGACATGCGCAAGAGAAGATATGAACGATTAGAAAATGTGGAGGACTTCCGAAGAGAGATTGAAATGCGTGTTCTAGACTTGGAAGAGGGCACTAGTCGTTTTCACGGAAACTTCGCGGTCAGTGACACCTTAAATTTTTATCTCGAGGAAGCAAGAAAAATTCAAGATAAAAAGGAATTGAAGAAGAGACTCGAGGACTTGAACGCCTTGACTGCGATACTTGCTCAAGGACGAGAAAGACGTGACGAATTATGATCCTCCGCGCACTTGCTGAAGCCCACTTTTGATAATGACAGGTGAAAATCAAATTATTTATTGTGGTGTGCATTGGTTCTCTTGTATGATTTTCCATGGTTTACCTGTGGTATTCTGCTCACTCATATCTTATCTCTTATTGGCTCCAGTTGGTTCTAGTGCGGGACGATAAAGGACGGACACCCACCTAACGAACATACGCGCCAGAAGCACTGGGGCAAGAGAACCTCTGGTACACAGGCTACCCAAGGCTTAATTTTTAGTTAACTCATACCAATATTAGTGTAACATTTTGTAATTTCATTTTATTGTGCTTTACTGTTGTTTTCTCGCTTCTGATTGGCGGCTGCTAATTATCATGTGTAATACTACTATTCCTCAATCAAATTCTCGATTGTCCTCAAAGTTTTGTCTAGTCTTTGCGATCATGGCCCAAATCTTTCAAATTTGCTCTTTTTTGTAACCATCAAAAGTGAATAAATAGGCTATATTGCTTCTCTATGCTTGTTTATAATTTCTCCTTATAAGAAGGGTATTGGGATTTAGAAAGCTGAGGAAGGTTTCGCATCATGTACGAACAATGGTCCACATCAGATGCGCATCATTTATGGTCCACATCAGATGCGCATCATTTATGGTCCAAGTCAGATACGCATCATTTATAGTCCAGGTCAGATGCGCATCATTTATGGTCTACGTCAGATGCGCATCATTTATGGTCCACGTCGGGTACGCATCATTAATGGTCCACGTCAGATGTACATCATTTATGGTCCACGTCAGATGCGCATCATATATGGTCCGTCAGATGTACATCATTTATGGTCCACACCAGATGCACATCATTTATGATCCGTAAGTTGTACATCATTTATGGTCCACATCAGATGCACATCATTTATGGTCCACATCAGATGCGCATCATTTATGGTCCACGTCAGATGCGCATCATTTATGGTCCACATTAGATGCACATCATTTATGGTCCGTCAGTGGTACATCATTTATGGTCCACATCAGATGCACATCATTTATGGTCCACGTCAGATGCACATCATTTATGGTCTGTCAGTTGTACATCATTTATGGT